GACGCTGCAGACGGGCACGCTGAGGATGAGTGGTGGAAGTCGATGCCGGGGAGTTGAGAGAAACCCCGCGCAACCATACGGGCCTTGAAGTCGATTATCAGGCCCTTCTCATTCGTCTTCCAAGAGAACACCCACTTTGAACCTATGGCCTTCCGCCCCTCGGGCAGTCCTTGACCTTGGTAAAGGCTCCAGTCTTGTCGTGGCCATCTATCTCTTTCTTCATGGCCGCCTCCCAGAAAACCATGTACTTGGAACACATCACATCCTTGTACGTCATCGGTACTGCTTCCACATCACTCGGCTTCTGCCCGATTGGCGAGGTCATACTTAGCTGTGGGTCTGGGAGTGGTTGCGAAGACCGGCGTCGACCACGGCCCCGANTCCAGTCTTGTCGTGGCCATCTATCTCTTTCTTCATGGCCGCCTCCCAGAAAACCATGTACTTGGAACACATCACATCCTTGTACGTCATCGGTACTGCTTCCACATCACTCGGCTTCTGCCCGATTGGCGAGGTCATACTTAGCTGTGGGTCTGGGAGTGGTTGCGAAGACCCGCTGGCGTCGACCTCGGCCCCGAACGCCTGCTGTTCCGGGCCCAACACCTCCTGCATCTCGCGCCTGTACATCTCCTCCATACGGCGTGTCTGCTCCTCGTCCCACTGCTCCTTCACAAGCGAGTTGCAGATGTAGTGCTCAACAATCCCCGTCCCGCCAGTTTCCAGGATGGTCGCCAGCAATGTCTCTTCCGGGTCCGGTGTTTCTCCGGGCCCCGGCATCTTCCCGGNTCCATACGGCGTGTCTGCTCCTCGTCCCACTGCTCCTTCACAAGCGAGTTGCAGATGTAGTCCTCAACAATCCCCGTCCCGCCAGTTTCCAGGATGATCGCCAGCAGTGCCTCTTTCGGGTCCGGTGTTTCTCCGGGCCCCGGCATCTTCCCGGCACCTTGCATCTCCCGGGTCTGCTTCCGCGTGCGGCCACTCTCAAGCCCTTGGCGCAGCGGGCCAGCGTTCGACACGCCCCAGAGGAGCTTCTTCTCTTCTAGCCTGCGGGTGTAGCGGTCGTCGGCTGGACCATACTTGAACTCCTCGAGGTTCTCCCCGCCGGGATCACCATCGCTACCGCCGTCCCCACCTGGGTCGCCGGACTCTTCGCCGACTGGGCCGCCGGCACCGCCGGCGTCACTGCTGCTGCTTCTCGGGCTGCTGCTGCTGCTGCTGCTGCTGCTGCTGCTGCTGCTCCTGCTCCTGCTCCTGCTGTCGGTGGGGCTGTCACTGCCTCCGCCGAAGTCGCCCCTTCC